TTAGAGACTGCCACAGCGGTGGGAGTCCAGAGGAGCTTCCACGCTGCGGCGGGTCCCACTTCGGGAGGAATCCTATGGTTCCAGCAGCCTGGAGGCCTTGGCGGCGGCAGGGCCCAATGACACAAGGAAGTCTTTGGTTCCAGAAAGGTTTATTGTCATGGCAGATGGTGGATTTATCTAGGCGTACCCCCCAGAACTCAGGGCAGTCCCGAGTTATATAGGGAGGAAGAAAGGGGGAAGATTGGGGGAGAATCTGGGGGAGGCATGCTTAATTTGCTCTGTCCTCTGTCCTTCATTAGTATGTAAATCCCTAGGGCCTGAGGCCTATAGTCTGGCCTATGTGACTGAAAATGTAATTCTGTGAAGACATGACTGTTTTTCAGGACCCTGGATTCTGGGGGGCGCCGAACTCCTGACGGTACTCACGCAGAGTCTCGGGGTTCTAGGCACCTGCTCAACCATGACCCAGGATACCCTCACACAGTCCCACACCATCTCACGTGCACAATAAAGCTTAAGACATGATGACATTGAAACTCTCTGTACGTGTGACACCTACAATTGACAAGCTCATACTAAGGGTCCTGGGGAGGATCCCGTGATCTCAGCCACACAGAGAATGCATGATGAGTGTCATCAGGCTATTAACCACACTCCCAGTCTCCTGGATGGTTAATGGGTTCTGCATCCCTCCATTTAAAGGATCGAGCCTGTGTGGTTAGCATTCCTGGTTCCTTTAGTGGGTCTCTGTGAGCATAAAGACCTCTGTGCCTCCCACACCTTCTGGGGATTGAACTCAAGACTGAACTCAACTTGCAACAAGCTCTTTTCCTGCTCAGCCATACTGCTAGCCTTTTCCTTATCTATCTATCTATCTATCTATCTATCTATCTATCTATCATCTATCCATCCATCTATCTACCTACATACCTAGTTTGTTTTATGTGTGTGTGTGTATGTGTGGGTACCAGCCTCTGTGTGAAAATGGAAGTCAGAAAAAGAGGGGAAGCAATGAGTTCTGGCAAACAGTTACTTACCCTTTTTGACTCTTTGTTTTGAGACAGGGTCTTACTGAGTTTCCTAGACTGGCCTCTTACACTTACTCTGCAGCCCAGGCAGGCTAAGAACCTGTGACCACTCTGTCTCAGATTCTCCAGTAACTGTGACTACAGGGCTGAGCCACTGAGCCCGCTTACATTCAGTCTTCTGAACTGAAGATTTCTCTAACCAAGGGTATTTAACAGGAAAAACAGACAAAACCCCACCACCATCCCCCACCCCCAAATGTTTAGATTTTTATTTATTTTATTGTTATTATCATCATCATTATTATTTAGAGACAGGGTTTCTTTGTATACTAGCCTTAGCTGTCCTGAAACTCACGTTGTAGACCAGGCTAGCCTATGAACTCACAGAGATTCGCCTGCCTCTGGCTATAGTGTGCTCAGAATAAAGGCATGCACCACCAAACCCAGCTTAAATTTTAAATTCTGTACACAGACTTTTCTGCATTTTCTTTTTTACCTCACCCCACAACCCCTCATCCCCTATGCCTGTGCCTTGAATGTTTAGCTGGCTATGAAGACAAGGTTGTGTCCTACTCTAAGTTACTCTGCATTGTATGAGACAGTGGCTTATCAGCTATGCTTTGCCCTAGGGGACTCTATAGACCACAGCAGCAGCTGGCTTTGGAGTGAATGCAAACACAGAGAAAGAATGACTCTTTGTTTGTTTGTGCATTCAGCTTATCACCACCTGTCTAGGTGATATACAGAGTAACACCTCATTCTGTCAAATGAAAAGTCACCACCTACATCCTTCTCCAAGTAGAGAAGGAACATGTAGGCACATGGGTGTTTTAAAACCATACCAGAAACTCCAGGCCTGAGGACTTTGTTGTTATTTTGTGCCAGGGTGTCTCTGTAACTTTGGCTGATCTGGAAATAGCTGGCCTCAAATTCACAGAGACTCTCCTGCCTCTGCTTCCAAAGAGCTGAGACTGAAGGCATGTGCTGCCATGCCCAGCCCCTTGAGAACTTCTCAGAAGAGACCAGACAAATGAAGATTGCAACAACCTCTCTGGGTCCCATGAAAAGAACACCTAACACCACAATGGTAACAGCTCCGCCAACCTGTTTTCCAGTGACCAGTCACCCAGTCACCAAGTGACTGTGTCAGAGAGCCAACAGAATTCACAGCCCTCAACACACTGCAGCTCAGCACAGCTCCCTCTACTTAACTTGGCCCATTCGAATTTCTGTCTGTCCACCCATATCTGAGATGTCCTGTATCTCTGCAGCCCCTGTGCCTCTGCAGGGTGGCCCTGAGAACCTCTGGCAGCTCTCAACTGTGTTCACTAATATCATGTGTAGCAATGTACATAAGTCCTTGCATCTATATCTGTTCCCCACCTCTCCTCCCAGCAAGGCTTCTTTGAACTCTGTAGCCTCTTATACCTCTCTGTAGTCATTTTGTAGTCTTCATAATAATACACTGCGTATGCATATGTATTTATATATACATATATTTCCATGTATATTATTATATAAAGGTAAAAGATCTGGAAGGAATATTAGTAATTAAGATTGTAATCATGAAATTAGAGTTATAGCTCAGAGGGGACTTTGCTTTGCCTAGCATGCATGAATCCCCACCATTGTGTAAACCAAACACAATGGTATAAACCTGTATTTCCAGAACAGAAGCAGGATCATCTGAAGTTCAAAGCTTTCTTCAGCTAATGTAGTGATCTGCAGGCCAGCCTGGGCTACATGAAACCCTTCTTGTAACAGGCTCCCAGACCTTAGCACAACTGACTCCATGATGGAAGTACTATTCAGGCTGTAAAACTCAGCACATAGAAAGCAGCACTACCTGCCAAAACTAAAACAAACACCTAATCCATCAAAGTCCAGAAACATGGGACACTGTCTAAATGTACAAACCTTGCTTTTGGGTTTCTGTGCTTCCTCTTCTGACTAACTGTTCTTGTTAACTTAAGTATGTCAACCCAGAACACTTTTTTTTTTTGGGGGGGGGTTTCTTGAGACAGGGTTTCTCTGTATAGCCCTGGCTGTCCTGGACCTCACTCTATAGACCAGGCTGGCCTCGAACTCAGAAATCTGCCTGCCTCTGCCTCCCAAGTGCTGGGATTAAAGGTGTGTGCCACCACTGCCCGGCCAGAACATGGTTTTTATGCTTAAAAGCTCACCTTAAGAAAGGCTTGTGGCTACAGTGGGATCTCAAACAACACTCGGTATAGTTGCTGGCTGGCTAATAAAGACTTTCTATTGTCTTACACCCATGTCTTAGCAGTCTTTTCTGGTGGCTACCCCACAACATTCTCAAAAAAAAAAAAAACAAATCAAGACAAAAGAAAAAGATTAGAGTAAAAGAGCCTGTGGCTGGTTGCTGGAGAGAACACCAAAGGGCACTGCTGCTCTTACCAAAGACCCTGTTTCAGTTCCCAGCACCCACATGACAGCTCACAACTGTTTGTAACTCCAGTTCCAGGGGATCTGATGTCTTCATAAGACATCAGACATAAGTGTGGTACATATACATACAGGTAGGCAAAGCACTAAAACTAAAAAAGTTAAAATAAAAGAACCTGTGGCTGCCAGAGGAAGGAAAGCTAGGACTACATAGAGAGGCCTTATCTCAAAAATAGAACATCAGCAGCAAACTGATACAGTTTGTGAATTTATTGTTATTCAATACATTTGGACATTGTAGGAATATACAAAGGTGACCGTCATGCTTCTGGAGTGGGGTGCTCATGACACTTATAGACAAGAGAAAAACTGAATGCTGTTTATGGGAAGACTGGGAACTCATTCTCTCAACAGTGCTGAATGATTCAGAGTATATTGTGTATGTTGGCAACTATTTTTGTCTTGGGACTTCCACAATGTCTATGTTAAATTAAACATTTCCAATGTAAAGGAATCAATTCTATGCCGACATAATTAAGATAGGATCAGATATATATCCTGTATCTCTCATCAAAACACTAAAAAATTATTTTTAATGATGTGTGTGTATGTGTGCCTCAGGAGACAGTCAGGAAGTGTTGAATTGCCTCAGAGCTGGAGTTACAGGCAGTTGTAAGCCATCTGACATGGGAGTTGGGAATAGAACTTGTGTCCTCTGGGAGAACCGTATACACTCTTAACCAATGAGACATTCTTTTAGGTCCAAATACATTCCCCCCACGCCAGTTTCTGAGTTTACTGTCCCTGCAGATTTAGGGATATAGTCTCAAGTCTAGGCATGTGGTAAGAAACCTCAGGACACAGCCAGATCCTAATTAGTGTTTGAGTATGGACGAGTTGGCCTGCCCAGGAGAGGTGATGGAAGGTTCTTGAATCTTACAAAACACCCAGTTCAGGTCAGATGCATACTAGGTCACTCCGGGCCTTTGAGGCTTTCATTGCAGAAAGTGGGAAAGGACGGCCTCTGGAGGTCAGGCCCGAGAATTACTTCTTTTACCTTTTTTTTCCCCTCCGGAAGGCTATGGAACCCATGATTATCCTGATTACCCAGTGATGGGAATACATCGACTTCTTCCAGGAAAAGCCCTCTTAAGGCTAAAGACTTCTGAGCAAGACAGGCCGCAATCACATTCCTTCTTAGGACAAATGGGGAGGCAGGTCCTCAGAGCAAACGCATTTTTCCTGAGGTCACCCAGTAGAGAATTAAGAATTGAACACAGGTCTCTCTACTCCATGGTTCTTACTCTAAGTGACTCCAAATTTTTTTTAAATAGACACTTAGGAGCATTCACAGGAACGAACCATTCATTCTGGGGTCCCGAGGCGCTAAAACTTGGTTCTTAATGGCGCCTTAGGCGGAAACTTTAGGCCAAGAGTAATACCAGTATCCTCCTTCCGGGATCCTTAAGGCCGTCACTCAGAATGGTAAAACTCCGCCCGCCCCAGGGCATCTCGGGAAATGTAGTTCTACCTTTATTAAGACTATGGGGTAAGCGCTATGTAGAACTTCATTTCCCTGATGGCTGCGCGCTCCGTTACCTGAGCTAGCGCTGAAGGGCCGAAACCTTCATCTAGGATTGTTTTTTTAAGTTCTCAGGAGGAAACTGTGATAGCGAACTGAGGCTTTTGGCTGCTCAGCGGGTCATTTCATCTGGCAGAGCTGGAGGACAAGAGCGTGGCGCCAATCGAGCGACCCAACTTCCTGTCGGCGGGCAAAAATCTTGGGCCCTTCTCCTTTAATTGCGGTGGGCGGGACGCGGCGACGCCACCGCGTTGCTATTGGCGGCGATTGGGGGCGCGGAAACTGAACTGGCACAACTGCCGACCCAGCTATCTCGGGCATTTGTGGTGCCTCTGGTCCTGCCAGCCCCGCCAGCCCTGCCATGGCTACTCCTAACCAGGTAAGTCCCTAGAGAGTGGGCGCCTGGCTGCTTGGAACAATGGCCGCGAGAGGGGCGGGTGGTGACGTGGGGTTCTAGGGTGACCTGCTCATCCAAGGTTACGGGGTGGGTCCGGTCATTGACTTAGCACCCCAAGTACCAGGCTAGATGCTGAACCACCAAGGCGAAGAAACAAGTCACCGCCTCTGGAATGTACGGCTTATTGAGGAAGACACAATCAAGGCCCGACCCTTGTCGTGGCCTGGGACGTGGCCAGAGTGAGCCTCGTAAACTTGTCCTCTTCTGAGCAACATGTTCTTTTGGAGGTGACATCCTTTTCCAACAAGTAGAAGCAGGAGACCATTGGGATGCCTGGGTTAGCGGAGGCCTGCAGTGTGACCTGGGCTCGATTCTGACTCCTCTTCCCAGTTCAGAAAAAGGACTCCAAATTGGTCTTTTAAATAAGAATTTGCTTCCACAGGGCCAGGTGGTAGCTGGTGGCCCTTGATGCACCTGCAAAGACTTGGGTAGAAATAGGACCCAGACTTGTGACTGCCAGTTTGATATTCTGTTTACATTTAGCCTTACACAGATTTTAGGGGAGAGGAGGCCTACAAGCAGGAAACTGCTCAGGGATGAGGGCATTGGGAAGAGGTCTCACTGATCAGGGTCGGACCTGAATATGGTTCTGCCCACTGAGTCTAGGATGAACACTTCCTCACCCTTATGTTTCTAAGAGGCTCTGGTGAGGACAGGAGTCAGAATGAGCGCTTGCTGCTTAGTTGGAGTCTTCCCCCTGAACTCCATCTGTTAAAAGGCGTGGTCCTACAGGTGTGCTTGGGGGTGGAGCTGGGCACTGGGCCTCACCTTTGTTTGGGGTAGAGTTTTGTGAAATAGCAATGGCTTTGCTGTGTCAGAGAAATATCCTTTCCCAAGCTGGGTTCCTTGGAGCTCCTAAGGTGTGGGTATTTTGTTTGCTTGTTTGTTTGTTTGTTGCCTTTTGTTGTTGTTTTTTAAATTTTTGGGTTTTGAGGTGGAGGGAGATAACTTACTATGGTCTTGGCTATCTTGGAACTTATTGTGTAGACCAGGCTGGCCTTGAACTCACAGGGTTCCACCTGCCTCTGCCTCCCATGTGCTGGGATTAAAGGTGTTTGCCCCCACACTGGGCCCATATTTGGTTCATTTTTTGTGGATTTATTGATTTGTCTGTTCATTTGTGGATCTGTGTTTGTTGATCGTGAACCCTTCCTTGCTGTACTAATTTATTCTAGTAGTTTTTAATGAATTCCTTAGGATTTTCTACGTACAAAATCATGGTTTGAGTGCTTTTAACATCTCCTGGTTTTAGAAAGAGTCTTAGTTCCAGAGAAGCCCCTTTTTCTGGTTATATTTGACCTTGCTTTTCCTAGGAGGACCCCTCACTGGAGAGACATTTTAAGGGCCACCGAGATGCAGTTACCTGTGTGGACTTCAGTCTCAACACCAAGCACCTGGGTAAGAGAAGGCCTCTGGATTCTAAACTGAGAAGGCTGAGTTTCTGGAGATATGGGAACACCAGAGTGCAGGAAGGACATGCTGTCTTTTCTAGCCCTTAGCTTTGGTCCTAGCTGCCAGCCTTCTGGACACAGGGCTTATTAGGCACCGTCACCTCCTTTTGCATGAGAAGAGTATAGTGTTCAGAGAGGTTAGGTAAAAGGATTTCCACACGCAGCTTGGGACAGATCACAGCAGACTAGACGGTTCCACGAGGGGAGGTTTATTAAGAGAGTGGGAGAGTGAGAGGATTTATTTACCTATTTATTTAATTATTCATTCATTCATTTATTCCTTTTATTGAAAATAGATTATTTTCTTACAAAATATGTCCTGATTACACTGATTACAGTTTCCTCTCCTCCTATAACTTCTCCCAGTTCCTCCCCACATCCTCTCCCATCTTGATCCACACCCTTTCTGTCTCCCATTAGAAAAGAACAGGCTTCTAAGGGATAATAATAAAATATAACAAAATAAAATATAATAAGATAAAACAAAAAGTATCGCATCAGATTTGGACAAGACAAACAAACAGAAGGAAAAGAGCCGAAGAGAAGGCCTAAGAATCAGAGACCCTGGGCTGGAGAAATAACTCAGCAATTAAGAGCACTGGCAGATTTTCTAGAGGACCTGACCCAAATTCAGTTCCCAGCACCCACATGGCACCTCACAACTGTCTGTAGCTCCAGTCCCAAGAGATCTGACACCCCCTCACAGATATACACTTGCAGGAAAAACACCAAATGCACATTATAAGAAAAAGTATTAGAGACCCACTTGTTTACACACTCAGGAATCCTATAGTGACATTAAGTTGGAATTTATAGTATGTACCACAGAGGACCTGGGTGCAGGCCCATACAGGCTCTCTGTACATTGCTGCTAATGCAGTGGTGAGAGACTAGGGCCAGGTGGCATGCAGCTTTAGTCCCAGCACTCGGGGAAGCAAAGGTGGGTGGATCTATGTGAGTTCCAGGACAGCCGGGGTTGCACAGAGAAACCCTGTCTTGGAAAAAAAAAAAAAAGAGAGAGAGAGAGAGACTCTGAGACTAGAGGGTAGGTTTCCCCCTGTACATTCTGGCTACTTCTTGGGTCTGTTCTGTGGCCTGGGCCTCAAACTAGCTTCTTTTGAGTCTTCAGTTTGATTGTCCACAGTAATATGGCACATTTTCTTGTTTCAGAGGCCTGCAAGTGAAAAAGATGTTGAACAGGGTCTGTCTCCTAACTGCATACCACTGCCACTTCCTCATACACACTGGGGTTCCTAAACAGCTTTCCTGGCTGCAGCCTGCTTTTTGCTTGGATTTAGCTTGCCTCTTCATTTTATTGTTGAGGTTTCCTGCCAGACACTGTTGATGTAGTGGTTTGCTACAAGCAAAGAAGGAGCTGAAGCCATTTTTCGTCCTCTTCTTGGGCTTCTTTTTTTTTTTTTTTTAAGATTTATTTATTTCATTTATATGAATACACTGTAGCTGTCTTCAGACACACCAGAAAAGGGCATCGGATCCCATTACAGATGGTTGTGAGCCACCATGTGGTTGCTGGGAATTGAACTCAGGACCTCTGGAAGAGCAGCCAGTGCTCTTAACCTCTGAGCCATCTCTCCAGCCCGGGCTTTTTTTTTTTTTTTTTTTTTTTTTTTGGAGACAGGGTTTCTCTGTGTAGTCCTGGCTGTCCTGGAACTCACTCTGTGGACCAGGCACTGGCCTCGAACTCAGAAATCTGCCTGTCTCTGCCTCCCAAGTGCTGGGATTAAAGGCTTGCGCCACCACCGCCCGGCTTCTTCTTGGGCTTCTTATTAAGTTTGGTTCTTTCTTTTATTTTTACCCAGTCTACCTTCCTTCCTTCCTTCCTTCCTTCCTTCCTTCCTTCCTTCCTTCCTTATCTATCTATCTATCTATCTATCTATCTATCTATCTATCTATCTATCTAATCTATCTTTTGGTTCTTTGGGACAAGGTTTCTCTGTATAGCCTTGAATGTTCTGGAACTCACACCATAAACCAGGCTGGCCTTGAATTCACAGAAACTGCCTGCCTTTACTCTCAAGTGCTGGGATTAAAGGTGTGCATCAATGCCACCGCCACCACCACCTGGCCTTTCTTTTATTTTTAATTTATTTTTAGATTGTCTTATTTTATGTACATGGACGTTTTACCTGCATACATGTCTGTGCACCACATTTGTGCTTGGTGGCCCCAGAGTTCAGAAGAGAACATCAGATCTCCTGGAACTGGAGTTCAGACTATTGTGAGCTACCATGTGGGGACTGAGCCCAGATTTTCTAGAAGAGTAGCAAGTGCTCTTAATCACTGAGCCCTCTCTTTAGCCCCAAGTTGGGTCCTTTCTTCTATTTTCTTTCTTTCTTTTAAAGATTTATTTACTTATGTATATGGGTGTTTTGCCTGCATGTACATTTGTATACCAGAAGAAGGCATTGGATCCCATGTGGCTACAGTTGTAGATGGTTATGAGCTACCTTGTGGGTGCTAAGAATTGAACTAAGGACCTCTGCAAGAGCAGCCGGTGCTCTTAACAGTGAGCCATCTCTCTAGTCCCAAATTGGGTCCTTCCAATAGTAAAAGGCCTTTTGTGTCTGACTGGTCCCTGAGTGTTGGGAGTACTTGCCCCTGAGCATTTAGCGTATCAGTGGGGAGACCATGGGCCAGACAGGTTTAAATTTCATAGGAACTTGGGTTGCAGTACAGAAATGTCATGAAAATGTCCTGTTAGTCTTGTGTTGGCCTGCTGCAAGGAGAACTGCCAGGCTGTAGCTGTCCAAACTATAGGTCAGCAGTCATAGGAGATGTGGGCCGTCCCAGTGGGATCCTATCCTTGACCTGTTGGGAATGCCTGTGAAGGTGGAGCTGGGCCTGTTGCCCTCCTGTCTCTCTAGCATTGAGGTGGGTGCTCACAATTCTTGAGATCTGAGAATCATCATGTTACTTCCCTCCTCAGCCAGTGGCTCCATGGACTCCACCCTCATGATTTGGCACATGAAGCCCCAGTCACGTGCCTACCGCTTCACGGGCCACAAGGACGCTGTAACTTGTGTAAATTTCTCCCCATCCGGACACCTGCTTGCCTCAGGCTCCCGAGACAAGACTGTTCGCATCTGGGTACCCAATGTGTGAGTTCTGGACTTCAAGGGACTGACAGCGTCGAGGGACTTGGTATAAGAGCTGTCCCTCTTTGGGTCCTTATTGTGGCTTTGAACTGGTCACAGTGCTTCATTTTACCTCTGAGGTGCCATCAGAGGCTGAAGCATCACTGGGGCTGTCTCCTTACATTGGAAGGACTGCTACCTGGTGCTGCTGCTCCCATGAGGGTGTAGGTGGGGGAGGAGTGCTTTGTTTCTGTTGGGGAGCTCTGGCCTCCTTGGGGTGAGACTGGATAGTCAGGCCTAGAGAGGTGGTGAGCATTTTGGTGTACTTGTAGGTTCTCATGTCTGTTATGAGTCTCCTGAGTTTGGATATCTATCCTCATAGCAAAGGTGAGTCAACTGTGTTTCGTGCACACACGGCCACAGTGAGGAGTGTCCACTTCTGCAGTGATGGTCAGTCGCTCGTGACAGCCTCTGATGACAAGACAGTCAAGGTGTGGTCAACTCATCGCCAGAGATTCCTGTTTTCCCTGACTCAGCACATCAACTGGGTCCGCTGTGCCAAGTGAGTATTTCCTGTCTGGAGAACCTGGGAGGATGAAGGGCTTTGGGGAGACAGAAGAGCTCGTAGGTGTCAGCTTGTAACCTTGGGCAAGTTGCTTAGCCTCCCTTTCGTGTATCCCTGAGTCTTAATTTTCTAATATGTAATATGTCAATAGTGGTTGTTACCTTGAACTTGTTGGGAAGCATTATTGAGCTCATGTGTGATACATATTAGTCAGCTATGACCCTCTGCAAGGTGTGCCAAGCACTCCCAGGGTACCAGATAACAGCAGCCAACAGCAGCAAGGTCCTCAGTACCACTGTGTGCTTTCTTCTTGTTCCTGAGGACAATTCTGCTGGCTAGGTAGTATCATTTTCATTTTGCAGAAAAAGAAACAGGTTTAGAACAGTATCTTTGCTCAGAGCTTAATTATGCTCCAGAGCTACTAGGTAAGGACTTGGTCCAGAGGCCCTGGTTTTGGTATGTGTCTTAGGTAAGGTTTTACTGCTGTGAACAGACACCATGACCAGGGCAACTCTTATAAGGACAACATTTAATTGGGGCTGGCTTACAGGTTCAGAGGTTCAGTCTATTATCATCAATGTGGAAGCATGGCAGCATCCAGGCAGGCAAGGTGCAGGCAGAGCTGAGAGTTCTACATCTTCATCTGAAGGCTGCTAGTGGAAGACGTGACTCCTAGGCAGCTAGGTTGAGGGTCTTAAGCCCACACCCACAGTGACACACCTACTCCAACAAGGCCATACCTCCTAATAGTGCCACTCCCTGAGCCAAGCATATGCACACCATCACAGTGTGGGAGGCATTGCTGTGACATGGGATGCTGGTGACTTGAAGAATTACAGAGACAGATACTCCTGCCTGTGGTTTCGTCAGCTTCTTTCAACAGAGCTTTCTCATGTCACAGCTCTGCTCCAGAGGAGGGGGTTAAGGTGTCCAGGGAGTACTAAGAAACCATGAAAGTCAGAAGTTGGGGACCATTGAACTATCTTCCTCTGGAAAATTCTTATCCGTAGGACAGAACCATTCTTTTTTCTGGGAGGACCCTGCTCTGAGAGCAGGTACTGATAGGGAGGGCAAGCCAGCAAAATGGGGTTTTATGTCCTTAGTAGGCCTTTGATGGTAGGTCCCAGGACCTCCTTGTACTTTTGTTGGCCCATCATATTTTGCTGATGTACTCATGTGATGCTCTTGACCACTGCCACGCATCAAGCAGCACCGTTTGTGTACTGCTACAGGCCGCATGTCTCCTGGGCGGTCTGTGCTGCTGTGTGATTACCGTGGGCTGGGCACTGTAGAGGATGGATCTCACAGAGAGGGAGGCTGCTTGCCCAGGATCACTCAGGGTATCAGAGCAGCACATGTAATTATAGGTGGTTCCTGGGTCAGGCAGCTGGTGGTGCACACTTATAGTCTCAGGACTTGAGAGGCTGAGGCAGGAGGATTGCCACAGTTCAAGGGCAGTTTGGTCTACATATAGAGTGTTGCAGGCTAGCCAGTGCTATATAATGAGACCCTGTGTCAAAACAACATTTAAAAAACCCTAAATGCCCAAAGAGTTCCTGGATCAAGCAATAGCATGCCAGATGAAGTGACTGTGGAGAACGCAGTGTGGTATTCAAAGAGTTTATTAGTAGTGTGACCTATGGCCCTGTCAACCTAGGTTCTCCCCTGATGGGCGTCTCATCGTGTCTGCCAGTGATGACAAAACTGTCAAGCTGTGGGACAAGACCAGCCGGGAGTGTGTCCACTCATACTGTGAGCACGGCGGGTGAGTCCATGTTGTCTTCCCTCTGAAGGTCCTACAGAGTGTAGGTCAGGGCCTGAGGATGCCCAGGGGCCTTCAGGGGCTGGAGCTGTGCATGCATCAGCCCTGCTTGCTCTCTTCAACTGAATCTGCCTTTCGTAGGAGCTTTTATCTTTTCCTTTGTGGATGAAGAGTTAAGCCCCATCCTTACCCCACAGACAGTGGAGATCCTTTACCTAAAGTCACAATAATTTGGCCTCTTTTTTTCCCCTTTTAGTTTCTAGTTCTCAATTATAGTGTGTCTCTCTGAGCAGCGAATCGGCCCCTTAAACTGCATGTTAAAAATTAGCATCACCCATGGTAGTGGCTCTTCATTCTGTGCCACATTATATGTGGAGAATAGAAGGAGCCTGCCCATGGGCGGGATTTATCTTCTACATGTCTAAGGACTTGGCTTCACTCCTCATTCCTTAAGCTGGGGCTCACTAGCAGGGGCCCCTCCAGAGTGCCTGCCTGAGTATTATGTGTTTGCATTGAAGGCTCTAGGCCTGTCTTCTAGAGACAGATGGGTGAGCAGCCTTTGTAGCCCTGCTAGACCTTTCCACCCATACATACCTCAGTTGGTGGGACCTGTCTTGGAGCTAGCCCTGGCAAAGGAACCCCAGAGCAACTTGGCTGACCTGTTGGTCTAAAGATAGCTGTCTCCCCTTGTACTTAAAAAATCAGCAGTGGGCTGGATGTGTCACACATACACTTGTAATCTTAGTCCTGAGGAAGGGTGGTGGGAAGGTCAGCTGTGGTGACATACTGAATATCAAGATATTCTCTCAAAAAACTAGACAGAAAGGAGGGAGGGAGGGAAGGAGGGACATGGTCCCTGAGAAGTCTACTTTACGTCACTGCTGGTTACTGTTGTCATCTGCTATTTGCTCTCTCTTGGCTACCTGGTAAAGCAGTGTGTTCCAGGTTGAGGGAACTGTGTGAGCAGACGCACAGGGAAAGGGCACTTTGGGTCCATCCTACCCAGGGAAAATGTCTTATGGTATGACTGTTCTGTCTCTCCAGTTTTGTCACCTATGTGGACTTCCACCCCAGTGGTACCTGCATTGCTGCCGCTGGCATGGACAACACAGTGAAGGTGTGGGACACACGGACTCACCGGCTGTTGCAGCATTATCAGCGTGAGTGTCGAGCAGTGCCCCAGGCACAGGCAGCCACTGCTGAGCGCTAGGGCTGGGCATTTGTTTCTTTGCTGTGGTGCTTACGTAGGCCCTAGGACAGCCCTGAGCTGGGAGACTTCTTGTGGCTGTTGGGTTCACCAGGTGAATAGTTAGTGGTATAGCCATCTTGGCTTGGAGTGTTGGTCAGGTGGTACCCCGCTATGAGAGAGCAGAGTCTCACGCACACTGTAGCTGAGGAGTCTTCAGTGAGTTTCTGGCTGGGACTGTTCCTGAGACTTCCTTCTGAGAACCCCATACTACTCATTTCTCCCAGTGACAGAGATGACTTTCTAGGGTCAAGGAGACAGGGCTGCCCATAGAGGTTAATGGGACCTTGGCCTCGTGTTATCTTCCACAGGTCTGCCTAGAGCCAGGAACCACGTAGAAGGTTGACTTGAACTGGGGGCCAGGCCCTGGTACCAGGCCTAGGCCTATGGCCTCCTCTTTAATTGCCACCTGTGGATGCAGGGCAGTGGGGAGTTGACATTGGGTTTGGAGTTCAGTCTTTAGCACTCTCTACCCCAGTATTCCCATAAGCACTTTCTTGGTTGCTTCTTGGATGTTGGAAAGCAGCACTTTCTTGGGTAACTGGTGTGAGCGGATCTCTAGGAATTGGGAGAAGTTCCTGGTCTGGGACAGGACACAATAGAGCATTCTCAGCTGTGTGACACTAGGTGGGTCAGTGGACTCCTCCGAGCTCTTGGGACAGTAATAGAGTTCATCTTACAGGTGGCAGGACAGGGTTTGAGTTAGCTCTTGTTAAGAATGAAGAGTGGCTGGCACAATATGGGAACAGTGACAAAAGATGCTATCGCTGCTGGTTGAGGTATACAGTACACTGTGCCACCACCAGGTGGCAGGGCTTAGCCACAAGAACTAGGTCTTTCCTATCTACCATTGATATTCTTTCAGATGCTTCTAGAGCAGAACAGCAGAGAGGATTGGGCTTCCACCTGGAGAGCTGTGGTCCGTCTTTCAGGCTCAAAGACTTTTTTTTTTTGTCTTGGCCCAGGCCCAAGTTAAGGACTAGGGTGAAGGTGGCAGAACAAGGAGGGTTTGTGCAGGGAGAGATGAGACAGGAATGTGACCAGGTAGTACAGCTGCCAGAAGCACAGGCTATGTTCTCTGGCCCTTGCCCACGAGGTGGTAATCTGATGAGAGAGTATACATAGGTGTTATAGTATAGTGCATGGTGTGATTGTGCTACAGCAGCCCCTGCACTGGGAGAAGAGGATTTCTAGCTGTCTCTGGAAGAGTCCCTCTGATGGATTGGGAACTTTGGCCTGGTAATCATGAGTTATAACAGCATGTAACCATTGGAAGAACTTTGAATGCCAACTTTAAACCTAAGGTCCCAAATCCTAGTGACTGGTAACTCTGGGACCTGGCACTCAGAGCAAATGGAGGAGAGGGGCATTTGAGAGGACAAATGTTGAGTGAAATTCTCCTATGATGTGTGGTTGATAGACCCTGGTCATTGTTGCATGGATTTCCATGCCTAGTGTAGCATGAGTGTATCAGAGTGGTCAGACCAAGCTGCTTATGTAGACCGAATAGAGGCAGAGGCTAAGGCTGTGTTAGTGGAGGGGCCACCTGGGCCTTGGGATCTGGGACATGAGAAAGGCTGGTACCATATTCTGAGCCATTATGGCTGAAGATAAAAGATCTCCACAGCAACCAAAGTGAGACCCATGTGAGCCAGGGAGGGCAGAGCCAGGAGGTAGACTGGGATCTCAGGAGGGGGCCAGCAGGAGGAGGTAGGGGAGAGGACTGTGGGTTTCAAGGGAGTAGGCTTGGTTACAGGTAGAAGTGCAGCTCGAGGCTAGCAGGGCTAGGAGATATGTGGACTTGGGTGAGCACCAAGGCCAAGTTCCGAGTGGACGGGTGTGCTTGCAACCCACAGGTTCCTCTGAAAGCTTTCAGTGGGCATTTGCTGTTGTCCTTGCCTCTTGGGATGGAACTCCTCAGCAAGGCTGCAGGGTCATATTTCTCGGCTGTCCTGGTGTGTGTTGGAGCCTTGTGGGGACATTGTGCAGCCTATAAACACAGCCGCTTTTTCCTGAGCTTCCTGCACAAGGCTGTGGCACCTGGTAGGTGTTCACATGAGAGCAAACTCACCCCTTAGCTTTGGTAATCACTTCCGGGAGGGGGAGGGAGAGTCAAGGGCCTTCACAGAGAGCTCCTTGGCTCAAACACTGCGGGGAGCATCACACCTCTTCAGCACACCCATGGGTCTGTTTGGAGGCTCTCAGCACTGTTGTCGTAGCAAACCTCTGATCTCTCCTCTGTTCAGATTCCTAGGAAACCCAGGTGAAGGTTTTAAGGACACTGAGTCCAAATGTCTCCCTTAGTGATATGGGATGGTTGCCAGACACTTGTGAGTGGCTCTCTGACTCGAGAGGCTAGTGGGCTCTTCTAAGAGATATGGTTAGCGCTACTGCAGTGTGCACCCAGCTGCCCTGTGCTCGTGCTTCCTGCCCTTGCCTTGGTTGTTGGAGTAAAGCTTGCTCCAGCTTTGAGCTACAGCGTATAGTCAGTGCTGTTTGTCTAAGGATGGCTGAGTGTCCTCCCAGGCAAGATGTTTCTTGGCTCCTGCCTATCACTGCAAGGAGCAGTTCTGATTTCCTAATTCAGCGAGGAGCCGATGGGCTGTTGGAGCCCTGATAGTGCCAGTTCCCATGGAGGTGGGCTAAGCGCCATATGCTCAGAGCCCACGTCAAGACTGTTTAACCATCTGAGCAGCAGCCCCCGCCATCCTTGAAACCCAGAATGTGCTCTGTGGTTTACAAACATGTGCAGGTACATGATTCAGGCACAGGCCTGGGTGACCAGCAAGGCATGGCCACTCCCTGCCTCACCCACAGGTAATGCGAGGCTTGCCTAGAGTCACACAACTGGAAGCCAAATCTAGCTCTTCAGTAGGAAGGGTCTGGGAGTCTGCCCACTGTTCCCGCACTGGGTCCTATACACGCTAGTGTTTTATTTACAAAATTCCTGGGAGAGGTAGGTTTTCTTGATGGGTTGTCAGGAGGCTTGGCGTGGCCATTTCCAGAAACTTGAGTTGCTTAGTCTTGAGTTCTCTGGTCACTGGCTCCTGAGAACATTTATATACCTCCACCCTACCCAAGGGGTGTTTGTTTAATTTTATTTATTTCTGTAGGTTTGAATGTTTTGCCTCCAAGTGTGTACAGTGTAAAGAGGCTGGAAGAGAGAGAGCGGAGTTACAGACTGTCGTGAGCAGCCATGAGGGTGTGACCCATGACTTGAACCAGGGTTCAGGGTTCTTCAGAAGAGTAGCTGGTGCTTGTAACTGCTGACCCATCTCTGCAGTTTGTTGTTTTAATGTGGCGATAGGAACTGAAGCTAAGACATCAGCATGCCGTCATCAGACCGTTACACCCCAGTCTCAATATTATTAGGCTTTTTTGCTTTGTTTTGTTTGTTGATTTTTTTTTTAAATTGTGTGTATGTGTGCTCTCTTCTTTTCCTTGTCTTTCCTCTTTCCCTCTCCCTCCCTCTCCCTCTCCCTCTCCCCCTCCCCTCTCCCTCTCCCCCTCCCCCCCCCTGTCATTTGTCTCCTTCTCCTTCCCCTCCCCCCTCCTCATGGCAGCTCTCCTGGCCTCAATCCTTGAGGCTATTGGGGCCAGTGAACTTATCCAAGAGCAGATTTTTTTTTGTTTGTTTTGTTTTGTTTTGTTTGTTGGTTTCTCTGTGTAGCTCTGGCTGTCCTGGAACTCACTCTGTAGACCAGGCTGGCCTCGAACTCAGAAATTCACCTGCCTCTGCCTCCCAAGTGCTGGGATTAAAGGTGTGCACCACTGCCCGGCTGAGCAGATTCTAAATAAATCTGCATTTAATATAAAAAAAAATTGTGTGTGTTGGGGGGGGCGGGGATGTGTCTGCAGAGGACCGAATAGGATACTGGATCCTCCAGATCTTGGGAACTAAACTTAGGTCCTCTATAAGAGCAGTATACATTCTTAACTGCTGAGCTATCTCTCCAGAGCATCATGAAGGACTTTTAAAAGGCTTTGCAGCTGGCAAGATAGTGAGCCCTTTATTTGGTGTTTTAAATTTTTTAAAATTACATTAATTAATTTAAATGTTTGTTTGTTTAGAGAGTGTGCATGTGTGCACGCATGCGTATGTACACACATGTGAATGTGCCATGGCATACTTGTGGAGGTCGTAAGACAGCTTCTGGGAGTTCTTCTCCTTCTGTCATGTGGGACTCAGAGATTAAACTTAGGTTGTCAGGTTAGACAAGCACTTGTTATTTCTCTGGTCCTACTTGGGATGCTATTTGTCAGTAGCAGTGCTGGCCAACCTACCTCACTGTTTCCTACCATCCCAAAGTGGCATTTATATGACCTTTGCAAAGAGGACACATGAGGTGTCCTTGCTGCTTGTCTCAGGATACATTTAAGTATATTCAACATTCCTTGGAGACCCAGAATGCCATGGAGTCGTTGGGTAAACAAGTTAGCATCGTGAGGAGCATGGCAGTCATTTGGAAGTGAGCAGGCCTCTTTGTGACAGGATGTGGAAATGAGCTCGGTCCCAGCACTATCTACCTCAGAGAATTCCATCCTACCAGGCACCAGGCTTTCTCTGGGTCCCTTGGCATCCCTGGACTCTGTCAGGCTTAGATTTGCCGAAGGCTTCGTCCTGTACACAGAATAGTGTAGGTGGAAAGGATTGTGTGTACATAGTCCCTTCAGGTTCTCTGCTGCCCACAAACTGAAGCTATTTCCTGGTGTTTAGGGACAGTGGCTGTAGGACCCCGCTGGCTCCTGGTTGACCTGTAGCACTGTGCACTGTGCATCTCGGCATGAGTTACAGTTCCCACTCTAGATCAGCTAGGAGCACATGGCTACCAAATGATAATCTGTGTTGTCTCTAATATCTGCCACAGAGCCAAGGTGACCCAGACAGCTCAGGACTTCATAAAAAGGAGGTTGTTCTTGGACAGTCACTACTCAAGGCATTGTGAGGAGAGGTTCACCCCTTTGAGGGCAGTTGAGCCCTTGAGTGGGAATATTATTCAGGGATGGCTTTTAAAGATGAGGCTGGCCTAGATGGGTCCTGTCCACTACCTCAGCAGAGCAGAGCAGAGAGGCTGTGGCCAGCAGTCTAGGCAGGAGAGCAAGTGGGGAATAGTGGGAGTGGGTTCCATTTCAGGATGTCCCCCGAATCCTGACATATCAGGCTCAGTCCTCCTTAGCAGTACGTGGCTGTAGAAGGTGGAGAGCCTGGCATTTGTAACAGAGTGGGGCTTCCGTGGTTCTTCCATTGGGGATAGTTTTCTCTCAGGTAGGGATGGGGTACGTAGTGTTGCATCTACACAGACTGCTGTCTTGGTGCTTCTGGGGAAGCCCAGGGCTCCCTGAGCATGCCTCACTGTGCTCCACCTTTCTGCTACTGGCTGTGTCTCTGCCGCTTTGTCTTAGGTGAGTCAGGGATCAGGTGGCCTTCATTCCAGAGCAGGCTGAGGGGTCTCTGTTCTGTCTCCAGGAGTGAGCTGCAGAAACCCTGAGATCTCTTCCATGCTGCTTCCCGGAGTTGTGTCATTGGAACGTGTTGTTCAGATATAAATATCAGGTTACATAAAGCCTTGGCTGGCTCCCTAAGTGTTCCTGGGAACATGTCTGCACACTCCCCGCACATTCATGCACCAGTGTGGTTTGCATCTAAGAGGCTCCTTGTAATCCTTGTGGGCTCTGCTAAGGGCCTCAGGCTCCTGCATGCTCTCAGAGCCCAGGCGGAAGCCTGGGATTTGAACTTGTCTCTATTTATGGTGATGCCTACCTGCCAGGGTCATGATTGCCTCAGCTCAACTGTTTCTTCGCTAGATCAGGAAGGCACTGGGCTTTGCCTTTGCAGCTTGTGACTTTAAGTGGAGAACTTTATGATCAGGGACAGGGAAAGAGACTTCTAGACCCATTGGGAACAGGGGGTGAAAAGGCTCCACAGGTGGGTAAACCACCAAAGTTGGGAAGACTGAGATTCTTGGAGAATGAGGGACACCAGGATAGACGGTTGGCTTGGTGGGAAAGGAGTCTTGAATGGGTAGAGAAGGCCATGGGGCTGGCCAGAGGAGAGGGATACCTGCACTGACACTGGGGCAGAAGGTTCAGTTTGAGATTCACTGGTAGCATCCCCATGCCAGCCCCAACATTGCTATGGTGCCAATAAAGAAGATGCCCAGTTCAGTCAGAGTGATGGTTTAGGGTCGCAAGGCAGGCCAGTGGGGAGACTAGGATGGGAGCCCAGGCCCCTCCGGCTCCTGAAAAATCTCTGTATCTTCTGCTTGTCTGTCCCCACACAGGCCCTCGCCTAGAGGACAGCACATTGTGTTAGTATTTTGAGGGTTTTCCTGCAGTAACAGAATTCAGCACTGTATTTGCGTGTTCTCTTCTCTTCCAGCTTCACTGCTGAGCATTGTGGGAAAAGGTGAAGGGTCATTTGATCCTCTCATATGTTTCTTCCTTGTGTCTTCCAGTGCCTGCCCTTGGTCCCCATCCATAGATTGTGCCACTCTCCTGGGAAATCCATGTGGGGTTCCCTAACTTACTCATCAGTGGGCAGACTAGGAGGCCAGTGCTGAAATGCTGTCGATTCTTATCGCCTGTCTCAGGCTTCAGTTCTATTCTGGGGGCCTCTCAGCCAGTGCCTGATGGCTGTCCTTTCTCCAGTACACAGTGCAGCCGTGAACGCCCTCTCCTTCCACCCGTCGGGAAACTACCTCATCACAGCCTCCAGTGACTCAACCCTGAAGATCTTGGACCTGATGGAGGGTCGGCTGCTCTACACACTCCATGGGCACCAGGTGAGGGGCGTTGGCATGGCATGGGGCAGAAGCATAGCTTTGACGTAGGTGCGGGGCTAGATTTTACCTAAGGAGATTGATCTGAGAGGCACTCCGCTGGAGCCCACCGCAGCTCCATCTCAGCCTAGAAAATGCAGTGAGACTCAGAGATAGGCCTGGTACCAGCAGGAGCTGACAGGCCTTTTTTGTGACCTCACTTGATTGCTGGGATTGAACTTGGTGTGCCTGAGGAGGAAGTGGGGAACTAAGATTGGGGGAGGTGTGGGATGAATGGAATCAGTCCTGTAAAGAGTTTAGGCTCCTTGGTCTGGTGGGCGAGTAGTGTCCTGGAACCCTAATCACCATGGTGTTCTGGGACGCACTGATTGATTTCCCATGACCTCAGAGACAAAGATACATTTTTCAGAGGTTGGGGCAAGAGAGGGATCTGAGTGTTTGTGTAAGGATTTCTGGCATTGAATCAAGGAGCAGAAGCTTTCTCTCTGCGTGCCTTCAAAGAGCGTCAGCCCTCTGAACTCTGGTGGGTGGTGGCTAGTGTTATGGCTCTGTGGTTGTCCACCGGAATTGGGCTGCACGAAGCTCTCATGAGCAGCTAGCCTGGGGCCAGGTCACAGCCGTCCCCCTTACCAGGGAGTCGTGATGTAGATGTCTTCTCTAAACAGATCAGTCACCAAAGTTTCATCTGTTGGGACATAGTCACTATGCACAAGTCAGGTAGAGTGTGGAGTCCATGGATTTTAAGTGTGTCCTTTTCTCCATCTGTGAGCTGGAAGAAGACAGGATACAGAGTAAGTCCCCGAGGGCTAAGGGGGCCCTGGAGCCAGGCCTGGAGGATCTAGTCTAAGGCTTCCGAGCTGTTTTGGGAACCTGTTATCTGCTGTTAGGGCACATGAGCCTTTTGGACATAGCCTTTTCTTCTTTCTTGGGACCTGAAAGCTACTTGTTGTCCCAGGCCTGCTGATGAGGCCTGTCTTCCCTGTGTTGAGGAGTAGGCCTGTCTTACTTGGGCCACCACAGCAGATACAATGTGCAGTGCCCTGGGGTGTAGTGACTGCAAGCTAAATGCTTAGACTCACGTGTAACCGGTTTGAGTCTTGTAACAGGAGGGCCCGTGAATGCCACCTTTTCTGCTTCCCGTGAGCAAAACAAAAGCACTCCTCAGAAACAACATGGAAACAGGTGCATATCAAATGATGGTTCTTAAAACAGTGGACTTCTCTCTCAGCCCGGGGACACTTCAGTGTGGATTGCAAATGGCATTCTCAGTATTCTGGTGCATTATTCAGCACACAAAGGCAAACCTGTTGACATTGTTCTCCCTGCATCTGTCTGTCGTCTACTCCCTGCTCACTGGGTCACACAGGAGGGAGACAAAATGAAGGTCATGGTCCTACTCTCTGGTGCTTTACAGCCTGGGCTGTGAAGGACTGCACTTAAGGCAGAGGAGCTAAGGGACTAAGAAGGGCAGGCTGAGTCTTAGGAAGTACTGACAGGGTTGGGTAAGAGTGGGCAGACCTGCCCGTGTCCTGTGGTGTGGCTCAGATGGAGGTGATAGTCAGAATATAAGGTCTAAGCATTTCTCTCTACTCATCCTTTAAGTTCCCTGTCCAATACAGAAACGGTGGTTTGTCACAGGTTTTACGAATTTCTCTTCTTGAGGTCTATGATGCCCAGTCCTTCTGGTACTGCAGGCCCAGGGTATCCTCGGCTTGACTGCTTCAGAGTTCTGCAAGCTGTCCAGGATGCCAGGGCTTGCCTGGCTCTGCTCTATGCACATGTTCCCAGAATTCCTGCTCGCTCTTTCTTTCTTTCTTTCTTTTCTTTTCTTTTCTTTTCTTTTCTTTTCTTTTTTTTTTTTTCTTTTGGTTTTTCGAGGCAGGATTTCTCCGTGTAGCTCTGGCTGTCCTGGAACTCACTCGGTAGACCAGGCTGGCCTCGAACTCAGAAATCCACCTGCCTCTGCCTCCCAAGTGCTGGGATTAAAGGCGTGCGCCACCACTGCCTGGCAAATTCCTGCTCTTTCTAGAGGCACTTGTTCTTTGTCTACCTCCTTCCTCTTCAAGGCCCTTGGTGAGACCCCTGTGTACTCACAGCTGGTGGTGGCCGCTCAGGGCTGTTCTCACACCTAGTTTCTTCGTCCTCTCAGTATAGGGTGGCTGTTTTAAGCTTTCTTTTGGGTGCTTACTAATGTAGAAGTAGTTTCTGTTTGAGAAGTTGAGTGTCATGGTTAAGGTAAGGCAGTGAATGTGAGATGTGAGGTCAGGGCTGAAGGGACAAAAGGACCTGACTGCTCATATGTGCCGTGGAGGAGAAGGCCTGTTGTAGATAAGAGAGAGATCATAGCTAGCGGCAGGAACATCTGGGAGAGTCTAGAGTAAACATGATCCTAAGCCAGGCTGTGTGAGGAGGGCAAGGAGAGGAGAGCCAGGAGAGTAAAGAGTAGACAGAAAGGATTGGTAACCAACATGGCTGGATTATATAGGGAAGGGCAGCCCAGCCATACCCTGTAACTGGTAGGAACTGAGGGATGCTGGGAGAGCCTGGCTTCTAAGTCCGCTTTGATATGTTAAATAGGCACCTCAGCCTTTTGTTATGGTTTGAGACCTAACAAGGGCTGCTTGAGCCCAGCTCAGTCCAGCTTACCCTCCTGGCTCAGCCCTGTTTGGAGGTTCTGTGTCAGCTTCCCAAAGAGGAGAATGTTACAGGAGAACAGCCTTGATGATTTGGGTAGTTGGTTAAACCAAAGCCCACCAGCTGGATGGAACTCTGCGTATGGAGAGCTATGGCCAAGATCTGATCCACTCCATCCTTGGAGGTTGGTCTGGGCTGTCTGTGACTTGAAAGTTTGTCAGCTGCTACCAAACAGGTTTGGCTTAGCTGCAGGAAGAAGTACTCTCAGGCTGCATCCTTGAGAGAGGATCTAGCTGGGAGTCACGTCACAAGAGGCTGTAGACAACCGGTTCCCAGTCCCAAGAACTACTCCACTTGGGAGGTCCGTTTCCTGCCTTGATCTTCCAGAGGAAGTGCAGGTGGGCTCTGGTGCCTTAAGCTTTCATCTCCTGTTCCAGGGGGCAGTGGCATGATGGGGGATGAAGCTCAGCTGTTACCAGCCCCCACCCTACCCCCAGCTTTATGTGGTTTAGAAGCTCTAGGGCTTGTAAGTGGCCCTGTCCTACAGATAAGCAGCGTGGCAGATTTGGAAGCTCTTCTGAGAACAGGTGACATTGAGAGCCTCAGGAGCTTCTCCGGACAGTAGAGCTGAGACAGGCACTCACATCACAGTTTCTGCCACACTCACGTGCCTGTCACATATGGCTTTGACATTTTCGATGTGGTTTTTACCCTTGGCTCTGCATCACTGGTCTGGATAAGATGCCAGCAAGCCTCATGGCTGCTACATCCCTACTTGATTGCTGTGTGACCTAATAGGAGAGGTACCCCATGAAACTAACTTAAACTCGGGAGGTGCAACTATGGGTTATGGGGCTCTCACTGTGTGGCAGTCCCCAGGTATAATCCCTAGACCGATGTCACAAGGAAGTCCATTGAGTAAAGCAACTTCCTTGTGCTTCCGTTTCCATATGTGTGGGAAGAGGACCAGCATGGGGGAGGGTGGAGCCTGGAGGAGGTCAGCCTCAGAGTCAGACCAGGAAGCAGCCCTTGGCCAGGAGGGAGGGGCTATGTATGCTGGAGAGCTGTGCTTCCGTGTCCTGTCAGGACAAGGCGTAAGCAAGCCCTTTTGGAGAGACTGTAGGAGAGGATCCGACATAGGAGAAAGAAGGGTCAGATCTGCAATGCTTTGGGTGACTTTCTCATCTGGGTTGAGGTCATAGCTGCCTTAGTGTGTCTTTTCCATTGTCTCCTTGGGCACAAGGGCATTACCATGAAGTAACTTGTCAAGCACCAGGATGATCTCAAAATCAACTCAAATCAGCTTTGAGTTTCTTAGATTGGACCTGTGTGCAGATGTGGAAGGCAGACATCAGCCAAGGAGTCTGCCATGTGGCAGTTTGGTCATTCTCTGGTATATGAGGGGCCAGACTTCTCAGTGGCCCACTTGAAGGGCATTCTATGCAGCAAGGGGTTTGATATAGGGTAGAAGGTCCCTGTTGTGATACTAGGGTCTCACTATGGGGTGAGGGGCTCACATTGTGGGGCAAAGGACTTAGTCTTGGGTAAGTAGCTTACTTTGTTGAACTAAAGGCACACTCTGAGTTGAGAGGCTCACTCTTGGGTGAGGAATTTGCTCTGTGTGGGAGGGCCTCATTTTGGGGTAAAGGACTAATTCTGTTGAGCTAAGGACTTCCTCTGTGGGTTACAGGACTCTCGCTGTGTAGAGTGAACTGAGGGCTCACTGCAGGATTGCCTAGCTCCACTTCATGTTTGCTGTAACAAATACCTTAGTACCAAACCTCCAGGCATGGCTGCATACCGTAGCGGTCCAGCATTGAGGAGCCTAGACCAGAAGGTTTACAAGTTCAAGGACAATGTGGGCTACATAGTGAGCCGTTGCCTCAAAACAACAGCTATAAATAAAAAAATTACCCAAATTGGGAAATCAATGAAGATAGGAAGTTGTTTCCTCATGCTCTGATACTGAGAGGTCCAAAATCAAGGTGCTGGCCAAGGCGAGGGTTGTTGCTGTTCTCTGCTTTCAGGGTAGTACCTTGACACCGCCTCCTCCTGGGGAGGAGTCCTGTGTCCCATGTTTTACCTCAGTTGGCAGATAATAGGTGGGCAAAAAAGACAAATTCCCTTTCTGTTTATAAGGCATAGCCTTATAAAAAGACCACACTTTGGAACACTGCTGCTTTGGGACTAAATTTTAACATGAATTTTTAGAAGAACAGAAACATTCAAACCATCAGAGAGATAGAAATTGGTAAGTTTATTGTAGGCATAAAGATTTTGGTATTGTCATGTGGCCCTGGCTTTGGGATTCCCTTAGTTCATTTTACAGTCCATGTTGCTTGCCTACCCCTGGGCCCTGTGTGGTCGGC